ACAGAACAGTGTCATTGATTTCACATGCAAGCAAGATTCTGCTGAAGATCATCCAAAAACGATTAGAACAGCACATCAGCAGAGAACTGCCGGAAAACATAGTAAGTTGGAGAAATGCTTGTGTGGAACTAGGAAATTAAAAAAGGGGGCTGGAGAATGGCCTCCTGTTCAGTCAGGGGTCCTTGAAAAAGAGGGAGACCCTCCATGGGGTGGATTGACATGGTGGCTGTGAAGATGTGCTCTGTTGTGGACTGAAGTGTGTCCCCCCAAAATACGTATCAAAGGAGGCCCTGCTTCTTAGGGGTCTGGCAGTTAAGAAATCACGTACACAGCAGTACGTAATGATCCCCTACGATCTGATAAGGCAATCACAGTGAGGAGAAAGCCCTCCACAAGGCGGATTGGCAGTTACCACGATGGGCACAAGCGTACGTGAGATGATGGGGATGGCATGGCGTGGGGCCGGGCTGGGATCCACTGTTCACACGGCTGCTATGAGCCCATGACACCTACCACCACCACAGTACTCTTTAATCCCATCACAGCCCCAACAAATATGTGGGCTATTTCCCTGCCTGTGTCCTGAAACATCTTTTAAGCCCAGCAGGGGACCTCAGAACTACAGGAAAAGAACTGCAGGGGTGGGGTGTGTCCTTCTGGACTCAGGACCTTGCACTGAAGCCCCCCGACACTGGGGAAGTCAGGACACACGGACTCCTCCAAGGAATGGTGGTCCTTCGGATGCGAGGATGCAAGGACCTCCCCCAGAAAGTGTGCGCCTTCCTCCGAAGCTGGCCATCTCAGTTCAGATGTCTAGACTCTTAAACAGCAAAGGAAAAATGTCTGTTTTTAAAGGTGACCCACTGGTGCGATCTCTGTGGGAGAAGGACAGGCAGTTCTTCCTGGACATGGGGAAGTCGAACTCTATGTACTGAAGAATGACTATGTGGGAATCACTAGCATATCTGCTTTTATTCTCTTTGCTTTATTTAGCTTCAAAGAGTTTGCATTTTTTTAAACAAATTGACTTTTCGTGACAACCCTGTGTCAAGTAAATCTGTGGGCACCATTTTTCAAACGTGTGTGAGTTGGCACTGACTGGGCAGGACCGGGACTCTGAATTTGAAGGCAAGGAGCAGGTGAAAGGCAGTCATTGTGAATCCTGCCAGGGGGCTCCTGGCTGCCTGCCCTCAGTGGGACTCTTGCTCAGGACAGAGGCACATTACCTGGAGCCTTCTGGAAACTTCTGACAGAAGCACCAGGCTTCTCTGAGAGACACCCAGAGTGTGAACGGATCAACTCATTTGGACAGGAGGGGACAGCAGTGCAGTGGGCTGGGCAGGGGAGATGGCGCGCTCTATCTGGGAGACACAAGGTGGACAGAGGGACACAGCCTCTCTCCGGGTGTCAGGAGGACATGGCTGGTGTCAGCCTGCAGGCCAGTGCCCATGGCAGCCACTCAGGTGCACCTGGCTTCTCTGAGGCTGCAGGTGTTCAGACAGCTAAGCAGCAAGGTCCCCACACTCACCACCCGGCTCCCCTTGCCTGCCATTCGGAGCAGACAGTCCCATTCCCGGCCTCCCATGCCCACCTGCCACCTGGGCCCCCGGTCCCCATGCCCATCACCCAGCCGTCTCTGCTCCACACGCTGGCCCCTCTCCCTCTCCCGGTGCACAGCCCCTAACCTCCTCCTTCTTCTGCTCTGCTTTGTGTTTGTTCTCCTGCAGGACGTTCTGCCGGGCCAGGATGGCCTCCTCGTGACTCAGCTTCCCATGCAGCCTCCGGCACTCCTCAGCGGCCAGCTGCTCCTCCCGGTCCTTCGCCTGCATCTTCTTCTGCCACCCCAGGAACTCGGAGAAGTCCCCAGCGCCATCCACAAGACTGTCAACCCTGGAGAAGAGGGTCCAGAGGCGTGGCTGGGGGCTTCTCCCTCTCTTGGGCCCAGGCTGACCAGGGAGCCCTGCTCGGCCCTCCAGGTGTGGGCTGCCAGCCTCCTCGTTCACCCACCCACCAGCCACAGCTGGCCAGCCCTCTGTTCACCCACGCCCTCTCTACCAGCATTCGCACTCACTGTTCTCTGGCCATCCACTGTCCCTTTGTCCACTCGTCCACCCACCATCCTCTGACATCCTCTGTCCATCCATCCACTCTCTGTCCTTATCCTACCCACCTACGCATCCCCCATCCTCTGTCTGCCTGCTATCCTGTCCACGTCCTGCCCCGTCCACCCACCTGCCTGTCCACCCTCCCTCTGCGCATCTGCCTGCTATCCTTTTCCCATATCCTTCCATCCACCATCTCGGTTCATTCTCTCTATCTGTCCACTTGTCCTCATACCCACTATCCCTCTGCCCATCCACTGCTCCTTCGTCCTTTCATTTGTCCCCCCTCCAGCCCTCTGCCCATCATCACCCCTCGAGCTGGCCACCCAGCTGTCCCCACAGCCAGATACAGAGACTTGGCTGTGACCTGAGTGAGCCCAGAGGTGTGTCCGAGTGGAAGGGGAGCAGGACAGAGACCAGGGACTGAGGGGCAGGTGGCTCCGGGAAAGGTGTGGGGTGGGATGGTAGGTGTGACATCTCCCGGTCCGTCACCCTCACTGAGTGGGGACCATCACAGGGACACTCAGATGCTGGGCGGCTGGTGTGACACCCTGTGTTTGCCTTCCTTTCTCTGCCTGTCAACACCACGCTTGCCCCCACTGGCCCCCACACAGCCCCTGCCCAGCTGTGGTTCCGATTCTCAGCGGCCGCCCCAGGAGCGTGGCTGGACCCACCTCTGCAGCTCTCTCTCCACCTGCCGCTGGTACAAGGCCCCTTCCCGCAGGATGGCAGCAGCGTTCAGCTTGACCGGCATGTGGCTATTGGGCTGTAGGATGGCACAGGGGCTGGTGTGTGCCCTCACACCAGTCCTTGTGGGAGCCAGGCCTGTTCTGGGGGCCTCCAATGTGCCAGCATCAACTTCCCCAGTGCACCAAGCAGAACAGCACAGCAGGCAGAGGCGAAAAGGACATGGACCCACACCTGAGCCCACCCCAAGGTCCAAAACAGCTTCACCTTGTAGAAGGTCAGTTTGGAAACCTTCTGGATCCGGGGTGTGGCTTGTCTCCGCAGCTTCCTGGAATCCTGCAGGACCAGAGAGGAGACCAGGAGAGCCAGCAGACTGACCCCAGGTCTGTCAGGTGCCGCCAAATCCAGCAGAAATGATCCGGATGAGTAGTAGACTTGGGGTCCTGTGGGCCTGGCTTACCCCATCCTTAGCCATGCCAATTCCACTCTTCCTCTCCCTCCTCTTACTGATGTGCCAGCCTTCCCAGGTGCAGGGAACAGGGAAGGTGGAAGGGGGAAGATGGAGGGGACGGAAGGCGGAGGGAAGAGGAGGAAAGGGGAGGAAGGGAAGGGAAAGGAGGGAAGGGGAGGGGGAAGGTAGTGGGGAGGGAAGAGGAGGGAGAGGGGGTGGGGGAGGTA